AATTGCATTTCTTCACACCAAAATTCATATTTAAGACACACTGTCTTTATATATTTGATATCAACTGATATCTTCGATATGGTTAGGAACTGATAAAGACAAATTGTCCATTGATAACTCATGAGATCTCTGAATATTTAAATCTGTCGAATTCTACTCTTCTCGATAAAATATTTATATCGACTTTTGTTTTAATCAAATTAAAAGAAACGAAACGAAATTTCTTTCTGTATGACCCAATATTATTGAAATCGCTATAAATATTAATTAAGAACGAATATATACGATTAAAGATCGATTAAAAGAAGATCCCATTTTGCTTAAAATGTAAAATATAGAAGAAGAAGAAAGCTTGCGATTGTTTTGCTTTGTCTAAACGGATGAGTATAAGCTTGACGCCAACGCATAGATTTCTTCCTTTCGAGACAATGTGATCGAAATTAAATTATCATTACAAGGTGTGATGTGAGCTAAAATGATTCATAAAAATGAAATAAATCGAAAATGAATATTCAAAGTCTATGAAAATCGGAAGATTCATAGAATGATGCGTTTCACTAGGGAAAGTAATAAACATAAGCGAGTTTCTTTTCATATATATTTTGTTGTTTTTTTTTTTTTACCTGTTGACCTATTTTAGCTAATAATGTAATAAATTTCATTTTACATTTTTCTATTTTCCTTAAATAAATAAATAAATTATTATAATGAAATTAATAAAAATGCAAAAGGAATCGATCGATCTCGATACACGTTTTATTGGAATGATGATTTCCTCCCAAAAGATTAGGCCCACCAAGCAATCAAATAAAGTAAAACGCATTAATTAATGTTATTAAACTAATAAAAATCAGGAATAAACAAAAAATAAATAAATAAATAAATAAAGAAGAAGAAATATATACATATTTATATATGTATATATATATATATATGTATATATATATATATATATACAAATGCTCACATAAAAGATCCATCAATTTACTAAGAGTAACAATTGTATGCATACAAACAATATTCATATACATATGTACATGATTAACCATCATTTAAGAACACATACAATTGTATTAAGCAAACATATATAGTTTTGTTGATTTTTATAATCCAATAAAAGTATTCGTTAATTTCAATAAGAATTTAAATTACATAATTAAACAGGCGCTACAATGTGTACATGATTAATTAATTAATTAATTAAAAATTGAATTAAAAATGAACTCTTAAATAAAAAACACAAAAGTGAAAATGAAAACGAAAAATAAAGTCTAATACAGGCCCCTCGATAAAAGAGGAGTACGTTAAAAATTGTATGTGTTAAAATTTTGCGAATGCATACATATGCGTACATATGTATTTATACGAAAAATATATTATTATAATTATTATTATTTTATATATTTATTTATTTATTATTTAATTTTACATTATTATTCTTATTTTTTATATTAATATTTTTTAATTATTACATTTTTATTATTATTATTTTTTTATTTTTTGTTATTGTTTTATCAATTATTTTATTTTTTATTATTATCATTTTATTTTATTGTAATTTTTTTCATTTTTTTTTTTTATTTTTTTGGTTTTCTTTTTTATTATTATTATTATTGTTAATCGATTTATATAGAACCAACAAAGAAACGGAAAAGAAGAAAGAAAACAAGTTAATTATCTCAAATGCATAATTAACAAATACGATGTTTATATCACATGCAATACTCCTAAAAACTGAGACGAAGCGAATGCAATCTTGTGTTTGCTTTATATTATGAGTCTTCAAATGCGTATATTTTTATTACATTTCAATTTTTACTTTAACAGCAAAAAGAGCAAAAAGAGAAAAAATTTATAAAAATAAAAAAAAAGAAAACGAAACAAAACAAAACATAATGAATAAAAACGAAAATCCAAAAGGAGCCCATATTACAAAGAACGGAACGGAAAACGGAAATTACAAAACAAAACAAAGGAAAACTAAATTTAAATCAATGTTTGTATGTTAATTTTTTCTTTTATACGATTTTCCTAAATTTCATATTAATGTAAATGTATCTTAATAATGGAAAAAAGGAATACATAAATATATATATACATATATATACATATATATATATACATATACATATATATACATATATATATATATATATATATATTTATATATATACATATACCTTATAACATATAACTAATAATTTGCGTTTTTTTTGGGAGGGGGAAAAGGGGATTCATTGTTTTTAAAATACTATTTAACTCCGTGCATTTGGATTGGATTAACGCCCAGCCACTAAAAAGGTAAACAGAATAATACTTTGGGTAGGCAACGACATGTGTGTAATTAATGGTAAAGTTAACTTAAACTTTATTATTTATTACGACAAGGGTTGCCATATTTTGTCAAATATAGTACTTCTTTATTTAAATATTCCTTAATCACGCCAAAGTTATTAATGTTGATATATCCTGTTTCCTCAAGAACACACTGAAGACGTTTAGTACTATACATTGAGTTAAAGGGGAGGAACAGCTTAACGTCGTCTGCAAACATTAAAACACGGGAATGTTGAATCATTCAATTAAAAACGGGCCAAGATGACTTCCCTAAGAAACACCTTATGGCAGCTTCATGAATATCAAAATATTTTCCCATAGCCGTTGCACCTTGTCCTCTTACAAGGTGATATAAAATTTTTACTTTATTACCTAAACTGAACGTCTCCATCTTCGAGTTTATTATAAGTGAATTATGTGACATTGCGTTAAGGACACCAATATATATTTCATATCAATAATGCAAAGATTTGAAAATTATTTAAAATCTATCTGTTATTCGGTTGCTTATAAACTTTTAAGTAGCCACGACAAAAAAAAAAAACGTCGTTTCTTTTAAACTCTCAAAACCAAACTAAATTGCGTAAAAAATACATTATGTCCTTACTCTATGCACAATTCAGGGCATCTCACTCATATACGCATACGATCGACATAACCTAACTAAATTGTGAAAAATATAATGCGAAGTTACAATGCGTATTTATGAGGAGTGGCAATGAAAAACAAATCGTGTAAAACAAATTCGTGTAAAAATAGAAATTAGATTTTTTTAATTCCATAAAGAATCAGTTTCCATAGGGACGGTTATGTGGCAAGGCGTCCCAAAAATTATCCCATCCGATGTAAAGTTTTCACGCCAATTTGCAATAACTATGCAATTTTTGTCGCGAAATTTTAAAAATTACAATATTTTTTAATTGGGTTCGTTCTTGGGTCAAATTAGGTAAGTGTACCAAACTTCATCAAAATATCTCACAAACTTTGATCTGTAAATTGAACACAAGAATATGTAAACAGATATCAGATGGACTCACACTTAGAATCCTTCAGGAAATGGTTATGAATCGATCGGTAAAATAAAAGGTGGATCTGTATCAAGTCTTCATAGATGTTACAACCGTTCGCAACAACTTAATATACCCCATGCCGTAAGTACCGCTGAAGAAGACATAAAATTTAAACGTCAGTTAGTTTAGCAGTTCTACTCAAACTCAGTTGCAGGTCATTAGCGAGCAAATTGTGGATAATATGCATAATTTTGATCATAATTGCATTTGCTGCGAGCTATCGTGTACGATCATCAGCTTCTCAGGCTTGGAAAAAATGTCTACGCTAAATTAATCTATCTCGTTAAAGTGGAATCAAAAGATTGAATACTGCGGCACTCCAAACGACCTATGAAAAAAATTGGTTTTTGTATCGAAGTACCACAATTCAGGAAATTACGTAGAGTTGAACGATTGCTGGTACAAAATTTGTAAACAATATTTTTTAAACTTTTCTTAAAAATTAAATAAATATGGAAAGTAAAACTCTTTACATATTGGATCTTCTTTTTATTTGTTCATATATGAGCATAAAAGAAAAACACATTTGGCATACACGAATGAAAGAGAAAATTTAATATAATGATGAAGACATCGTTTATATGAATTAATCACTAACAGTATATTACAACAGAACTGTTAACATTCATATTTATGGGAAAACTGTAAAAAAGAACGTTTTCTGCAAATGAAACCTAAAAATTTAAAAACTGGATTTAACTTAATTACTTTTTTCAATTGTCAAATTCTACATCATTTTCTATTCATTTCATTTTGCATTATGCCTGCTATTATTTACCATAGGTAGTTTGTTTATACCAAACATAAATAAACATCAATTTGGCTCTCATTTTTTGCGCCTGCCTTGGTTGTTAATGCATTGAAACGGAAAATTTGCGAAGAAGTGTTGGCAAACTGGTGACGATGGTACCTGATTAAACTCTTGACGATAATCAATTGTCTCCTAACAAAACCAGACGATAACACAGTACTAATCGCTTGCTTATTCTAAATTTTTGAATTAATAATTCATTTTCTAGCAGCTGTTTATAATTTTCTTTTGCATCTGTTTTTTTACAAACGCAACGAAAGAATGATAGATGTATGGTAACTTTGTTCGGTTCGTATTCAATACTATTGCAAAATTTGTTCTCAGCGAGAGCAATTTTATTGTCGCCCGATTTGACGTAATGAGAGTGCGCATTTGGCGACCATTTGCCTGCAAATTGGCCAACATGAATAGATTCTCTGATTGTCGTCGATTGTCATTTGCTTTATTGTTGCATGGTTACATGTTCACCCTTTAGGACACGAACGTTCATCATCATCATCAAATGGTGGTTTAGTCGCGAATTAGAGTTAACTTTCAGATACATGATTATCCCCATATTTACTTGCCTTACGTTGACAACCTGGTTATCACCTATTGTCAAATTCTCGCATGTTCATGTGTTTCAACAAAACCAAAGAAACTTTTTTAAATAAGTTTTTTTAACTTAGTCGCTATCAGCCGTTTATTAAATCAAAGCAAAGTTTGCATTTATTTTGTTTTTATAGCATAGTGTATCAAAAACTTGCCGACGATTTTATTTTGAATTTGCTTGTAAGCAAAGACAGAAATTAATTTGTATTTATGCACGCATTCACTCGTACATACAAGAGAATTAAAGAGAAAGTATAACAAATGTCGTGTATTTATTGTATAAATTTTCTAAAACGCAGAAATTATAGAATTTTATATAATAATAGTGTAAATGAAACGTCGACAACTATACGAACTTTGGTTGGGTTATCCAACAATAGAAGGGGTTTGAGAAAATTGCAAACAATCTTGAATACTATACAAAGCCTGTGGTCGTCGTTATCGTTGCCATTCATACCTCGACCTACGTCACCACTTACCATTGAACAAAGGTTATTAAGTGATTTTTGCAGGTTGGCACAGACTTTTTCTCAACTTTTATACCTCCTTGGATAGGAGTACACTAATTCTGTATTTCCGTTTTGTTATCTATTCAGGAGTTATGCCATATATCATTGTAACATTATTTAAAACGTAGTAAAATTTTTATTACAAGTACATCCTGAGTCCTCACGAAAATAATTTTTTTTATTTAAAATTTTTGTTTCTTCTCAGTCAAAGATTAGAAGACGTAATGGAGACGTCTAATGGAGTTTTTAAAGGAATCTTGGATCGCTTTAACGGTATTACAGTGGAATCAGAGCATGAATACAACGCAGCGGATGATTTTCCAGAGAAATTGAAGAGTATTATTTCTAGTTTTAGTTAATTAAATAATAAAATATATATATATGAAAAAATTCTTTAATCTTTAGGATCTTTAGATTATTGGCAGAGGAAACGAAACCGTGCGATATGGTTTAAAGTAAATGAAAAACATTCGAATTGGATTCCTGCTCTTACTGAGGTAAGTCACATATTTACCGCTCTTGTACACCCTCTTTTTTCCAATTTTATATTTTATACTCGCATAATCATATCCTGAAAGTACACTTTCTGCAGCTTTCATCAAATTTGTTTACGTTCTTTGTCACCAGTTCTATTTAATGTTTAGAACGGCTTCCAGTTTCATCATGCACGAGATGGTTATCTAACCTTGGTGTGTTGGTTGCCCGAAAATGAATATAAAAATTTGCCTCCTTGTGCTCATACTATGCTGGGTGTGGGTGGCTTAGTGGTCAATAAAGAATGTAAAGAAATTCTTGTGGTATCCGATCGTTATGCTCTAATTCCAAATAGTTGGAAATTGCCCGGCGGTTTTATCGAGCCCAAAGAGAATTTGGTTGAATCGGGGATACGTGAAGTCCACGAAGAAACCGGCATTGAAACCGAATACGAGACTATGGTTTCCATACGTCACTCTCATGGTGGCCTTTTCGATACGTCAGATTTATACTTTGTGATGGCTTTGAAACCGAAGAATTTTAACATCAAACGTGATGAACGAGAAATTTCTAAAGCTAAATGGATGCCATTCGAAGAGTATCTCAATCATCCGCATGTTCATGAAACAAATCGTAATTTTCTAAAAATTTACCTTGATTATCAGAAATGTGGACTTTGTTTTGTATTACAAAAGGCAAAGCACCAGATTTTAAAAAAAGAGTATTGTTTATATTTTATGAAATCTATATTGGAGGAGTCGGGCCAAGGAGAAGTGGTAAAAGAAGACTCAAAAAATTGTGATAAATAATAAAGCACAAGTTTTGTACCTATTTTTTACAATAAGTTTTTAAAATCAGTTGATAATAGAAATTTGTGATGCACAAATAAAAAGGCAGAAGAAAAAATAAATATGTGATTTAATTTTCTTATTGAAAATTTGTAATTATTTCTTACGTTAAATGTTTATACTATCTCTTGTGGACTATTATATGCATATTGCGGTCTCGTGAGCAAAGTATCGAAAGACATTGGTTTATGATTTAATATTATGAAAATGAATTGCTTCATAGTTCCTTATAGAATATATTCATTGAAATTTATTGAAGGAATTGATGAACATAAAATTTACAATTCAAAAATATTAAATAAACGAAGTGAAACCTATCTCTACCTACCTACTGTTTAGTTTTTTACGCACGTACAGACTTATATGTATGCCATAGTGCATATTCACTGAAAAAAAGAATTATATATGATACGGCTTTACAAGCGTTTTTGAGAATGCGATGTCGTATCAAGCGAATTATTAATAGAATTTTTACCCATGCAAATAATGAAAATGAAGGAGCAAGCAATCAGATAGCTACTAACTAGCAGCGTTACCCGTGTTATTAATAACAGAAGACACAAAAAGTCAAGCTTAATAGTCTCTTAGATTGAATTTTCAAAAAAATAGTGAACTATCTTGTCATTTAGTTGTCTCTGCAATAACAGACTTGCGTTTTGGATTAAAATCAAATCGTACTTGTTCTCTCTCTCTCTCCCGGTTTCTTTCTTTCTTTCTAAAGGTGAGTGTACATATCATATGGAACGTTAAGCGAACAACATTTTTCGTTATAAACAGACAAAAACCACTAAATATTTTGAGAGGAGGAATATAAACTTTTCCTCCTATCATTCCTACATGCATATACGAGACTGAAGACTGAGAAGTATTGGTGTGAAAGGCTAAAATTCTGGAATTTTAAAGAAATTGATTGAATAAGAAAAATCTGAAAAAAACGGATCAAGTGAAAGTAAAAATAGTTAAATAAAATTTCAGTTTTTAAAAAATATATCAAATTTTTATAAAGAGCTCTGAAGACAAATCCTATCTGCGTTTCCGTACGAACATGACTTCTTACATTGATTTAAGCACAGTGGAGAAATCTGTAAGTAAAAATAGAGAAAATCCCACACATATTTATATATATACCAGAAGAATAGCACCATGACCTATATAAGAATTGGAGCACCATCTGCCCCGCATGCACAAGGAAAGTTAATCCCAATACGAAAAACACTAACATAACTAAAGTAGGAATTTCGATTACACGTGCATCGACTCAAATTACTATTTTCATATCATAAGTCCTTAGAGTTCCTGTTTCTTTCTGATTTTATGTGAAATATATATTTTATTTGCACATTTTTTAGATGGCTCATGCTGGAACACAACTGTGTACAATGGCTCATAAATTACATCAAGTAGAACGTTGTTTAGATTGTTGTAATCTCGAGGAATTGGATGACCTAAATATGTTGGAGCTATTAGAATCTATGCATGAGGTGGGCTTAAAAAAACAAACAAAACAAATTATTTTCCTACTAAGAATTTAGTTTATCTTTATGCAGGTGCGTAATGAGTATCAAAACTTGCGCAAAGATATACAAGAAGTGCAACAATTGCAACGTGACGTCTCCTCGACATTACGCTGTCAACTTCGTACCATGCATCAGACGTATCAATTGCTAAAAAAACGCTTGGAATTAAAAGCAGATCAGCATTAAAGGCAATCCAGAGTAAAACAAAACACCTTCATCACGCCAATGACGACAGTGTCTCGTTTCTCTATTCCTCTCTTATCATCATAGGAGATGAAATTTGTAGGTGTTCTGTGATACAAGGAATATGCACATCGAGCACAGATACAGTATGCATACTTGCCAAACGTAAATAAAGCATTTACGTCTGTCTGTCTGTTTAAATGATTCATCATTTTAAAGTCAGTGTTAAACGAAAATTAAATAATGGATATATATATATATATATATGAAAATAAACAGATTTACGCAACTATTAAGTAAATTGCCTATATTTCAAAACAGCATTTATATTGTAAAACAATATTTATATTACGAACATATAGCTATCACCATTTACAATATCTCTTCATCTATCTATCTATCTATCTCTCTCTCTCTCTCTCTCTCTCTCTCTCTCTCTCCCTCTCTTTACATCTACGTCAAGTAAAATCTTTTATATTTTCGAACGCCTTAAATATTGAAATTGAAAATTTAGTAATAAGTAGTCAAATAAGCATTAAGCCGACTAATAGAGATAACATTAATTAGTCTCAAATGTCAGTATATATGAGTATGAATTTAAAGATTATTATCTTATTAATATTATAATAGATACTGATAATAAAAATTAAATTAAAAACAATGTGCGAATAACATCAGTAATTTCAGATTCATTTTTTTATTTCTCTACGCAGGGTTGCAGATCAACAATTTCGAAAATCGACACTTTAACGCCTCTCATTTATCCAAAAAGTTCTGAGCATTGCAAACTTTTAGAAAAGATATTTTCAAAAGAAAAAATCAGTCGTAATTAATCCAATATACCTTTTGAATTGCAACTCGCCGATTGTCCGCTAAAATTAGATTTAAACAAGTAAAAATGTTATATTTGGATGAATGAGATCAAATTTATATATCACCTTTCACTTCTCTAAAAGGCATTGTAAAGAAAAATTAATCTATCACGTCGTGATGTCCACCATACTTAATATAGAATTAACGCACTCATCTTTTCCCATTCTACACGCCAAGTCCTCCTATGCGATACGCCTATCAAGAGTATATGACATCCGTCGAAGAGCATTTAGGCAAATCTTGCACACTTTTTATTCCAAAATTTAACAACGAATGGCACCAATGCGGTGGTTTATCTTTCGATAAACAAGACAAGTTATAAAAAGCCCACTCGGCATCCTAGCCTCGCGAGCCTTAACAAAACACGTCTATATGAATCCAGAATATGCTTTAAATTTCAGAATTTCAGAAATTGTTTTGCGATCGTATTTAGTCTTGAATTTTATTCATTAACCAGAATTCGAGAAATTGTTATGTTAATCTCTATTATCTGCTTAAATTCCATGACACCATGGAAAGCCTATCTTTGTATTAATTGATCCATAATGTGAAAATGATCATTAATTACTCTGTAACAAAGCATTTTGATGAATATACCTCAACTTTAAAATAAACGGTCTTTATCGCTTCAGGTCTTACAATAATGCACATGGTATAGACAAAAATTGCAAATTTTATAATTAAAAAAAAAGTGTGTTTTTGTGTAAGATAAAACTAAATTAGATAAACAATCTTAAAATTTAAAAGAAACGTCCGCCAGTTCTTTCTGTCGGGTTTTTTCTTTTCGTTTTGTGCGTGCAAATTAATATGATTTATTATTTCCCATAAAGTTGTCGAGAAAGTCGGCAAACTTTAATCCCCAAACCAAAAATACGAATAACGCGTCATTGTGTCAGCTCCCTAATCGTTTCGTGTTAATTAATATATAAATATTAGGCAGAATGCTGCAACACATTATTTTATGCCATTTGATGAAAGAAGATCGAACTTCACAAAAGGAAATCGCCATTTTTCTTTTTCAGGTTCAATAACCTGTGAGCTGTACAAAACCAAAAAAAAAACAAAAGTTAAACCTTTCAAGTAATAAATTACATACCTGTACTTAATTGCGCTTCTAAACTGTACTCGGCATACCGTCCGCACACGCTTTCAATGGCTCTCGTCCTTGGACCAAAATACGTCAGTATATCAAATGTCGTCAAAATATCCTAAAAATTGCAACCAGTAGGTTGAACACAAAAACATGGACATACAGACATGCTTAGATCGATTTAACACAGAATTCTATATCGATTGATGCAATAAAAGCTGGAGCTACTATAAATCCCTCTTTGTGTATGTTACATACGTACGCACGAACCTAACATGCCATGTACCACAAGTGTGGCTGGTTATAAAAATATATTTCAATTAATCGTAAAACACAGGACTTCTTATAAAATAAAAGCTACATCTTCTTAATTGAAGAAAAAATGTATCTCTATATACTAGCGCGTTAGTTTACGTTTTGAGCACCATCAAACATTCGTGCTTACATAAAAATAATATATATACAGATATTTTCTTTTATTTATTAAGATTAATTGGACTAAATCCATAAGAATGGGTCATATATCCGCTCAAAAACAGTGGAGGAAGTAGATAAACCTTTTATTGCAATTTAAAAAAGCGATCAGTCATCACAGGTGACAGTCATCCGAGTGATGTATAAATTCTGGTGTATATAATGGTCGGTCTCGCTCGACTATGTTGTTCTTTTTTTTTTTAAATTTATTTTTGTATAAATACATTATCGTATTATTTTTTGTTGCTTTGTTGCTTTGCAACAAATGTTTTATTGCATACGGGACCGAATTATGCATACGCGTATTTACATAAAAATAATTGATTAGATACAATATTTAGGAAATACCCAAGCGTAATAGGCGTATGTATATCTAAATATAACAAGAATATTATTTCAGCCATCGGAAGGAATGTTCGGTGCGAAAACAAACCTCAATTGTATTATGATGAACATACCTACCTATACCTACCAAAGATAATGTAACCTTGTTGGGAAACTTAGGTGAACCTATAATCGAATTTAACCATTTAATTTAATAGTTTTAACAATTTAATTTTATAGTTTTAATAATTTAAGCATACTTTGTTCCAAACCTATTTACCTAAAGTAATTTTCATCTACCCATTGGGTATTGGCAATGCAATTGTTCATTTGCTGTCTCGGAGAAGGAGACGAAGATGTTTATTGGACTAAAAGCAAAGTTCGATATTGTCTTATGACAAATTTTTGATTAAAATAGTCTATTCTTTATATTACAATAAATAATTGACGTCAAAATGACTAACGTGAATCCGATGAAAATGAATGATTTGAAAATGTAACCCTTCAGGGTTGCCTCAGCAAAGTTATATTCGAGAAAAAAAAACTCTACATATGAAATATGAAATTTATTTTTCTGCTTTCCTCTTTCTCACTCTCTCTTAAACAATTGGTTACGAATGCATGTGTAATACAGCATGGTTTCGGTTATAAAATAAAATAATAAAACAGCTGTTGGACGAGTATTTTGTTTTTTGTGAAATTGCAAAGTTTTGCTTGCACCGAGTTGATTAATTATCTATAATTTGGACATATAAGCCACAAATCTATTGGCTTAGTCCATCTCTGTTCAACATACCAAAAAAAAAAAAAAATTATCTATAATTTGGACATATAAGACACATTTCTTATTGGTTTAGTCGATTTGAACCCAACGCACAAAAAAAGAAAAGACTGTTGCACAAAGTTTTTTGTATTATAACAACTAGACGTATTAGTTTAGTATAAGAAAAGATAAGGATGAAACCTCATTAACGAATATTTTCCTTTTAATATTGCATATACTTAGGGCAGCCGGCTTGAAAGAAGTATAACAAAATTTTTAAAATTTTAAAGTGGTTAAACTTGCTTAAAAACATTTTCTAATAAAAAATTTCACACATGCCGTGAATTTCACAGATACTCTTTCTTTTTTTTTTTTTTTTTTTCTTCGGAATGTTTAACATTCAGCTGCTTTTTTTTCTTTTTGCTCTCTTCTTTCAAGCTGGTCTTGCTCTCTTTGTTTGAACAGTTCTCCATTAACTTAAATGTCGCCCCTTGCAATTTAGTTTAAAGAATTCATAAAGCCCATAAAGCCAGCAGTCGCAGCAGTTGACTTTTCATCGTCGCTGTAGTTGCATCTTTGACGCTCGAATTAGTAATTTAGTGGATGTAAAAGGTTTCCAAATTAGTGTTTGTGCCTGTTATAAAAATTTTATTTAGCTAAAGTTAGCAAACTATACATATTTCTGTACAGATAGTAATGACCGTGGAATGGGTAAAGGATATTAAAGGTTACTTCACCCTTAACAGCTTCAATATCGGCTAGACGTGTGCGAACTACAAGAATACAGTTAACGGCCATTTAAAAGGCGACTACAACAACAGCGCATAGTGTGTGTCTCTACACCAATTTACTACTGATTGACGTTGAAGGAAAAACTTAATTTAGCACAATTTCTTTTTTACCTTGCTTGGAAATACAGTCTTTCTTTCATAAGTACCATTTAACAATGGTCACCATGGAGAACGCTGAAGAAGTTATGCAGATATTAGATCGCTTTACTCGTTTAAAACAAAAGGAGATACCTAAAGAATTGGATGAATATCTCGGCTATGTAGCAAAAACGGGCGATACCGTCTTTAAATGGTCCAGTCTTAAATATTTGTTCCGTGAAAAACTTTTGAATGTCATTAAACATTTTCACGACAACTCACCGCGTATTGACGGTAAGTAATGTAGAGAAAATTTTCAAAAAGAAGTCAAAGTTTATTCTTTTTTTTTTTTTTTTTATTCATTTTTAGTTTTTTATTTTCACCCTTGTGTAACCGGCTTTTTGTTCCGGTTTTTCCATTTCACATATAGACTTTCTCTTTGTAATATTTTCAACAGAGGAGGGAAGCAAACATATTTTTTTTTTTTATTTTAAATCAGCTCTAGTATTTTTCAGATGATTGTTTGATAATATTATATATTATAAACTTCTGAAATTTTATATCTTCTTTCTCTGTTCTTTAAAAGCTAAAGGAAGAGCCACCAGAAATATTTTTGTTTTGTGCTGTGCATTTTGTGTTTCACATTAAACGAGTTGTTTGTTCACTTCTAGTCTGCACGTTTAATCACTCTTTTATTTCAAGGACAAAAGGAGGGAGACAAAAAGGAGAACATAAGAAATAAATTCGACGATTATGCGAATATACAAACGTGACGTGCTTTAGTTTATTATAAAGGAATTGATGATTGCTCATTGATTGATAAAGTGGGAACATTGTTCGGATAGCATTAGTTTTTATAGACAGGACCAAGCTTTATGTGGATGCTGCATAAGGTCATCTGCACTGAGCCGACCTGTCGGAACTAGTTTGAAAATTCTCTACACCATAACCAAATGCTAGTTTGATAATTGTGGGCAAACCAGAAGTTAACAAAAAATTTTGAAATATGTAGCTCATTTCGCTATTCCTGCATTTCTTTGACATGGATGCATTTTTATGACCTACCCTTGAACTGGAAACATTTAGGCACTACGCTAAATTATATTTTAGATTTCATTAATCCGATATACGTACCTATTATAAATTTATCGAAGAGACCACGTGTCACGTTTGCTTGTCTTTTTCGTGCATTTTATTTTAGAAATTCCCAATTATCCCAATGTAGATCCGTTTAACTACGAAAGTATGAAATCATCATTGCTGGAACGTTTGGAACTATTTAATGCTGCGCCCTTTACCATACAACGTTTATGTGAACTGCTTATTGATCCACGTAAGCAGTATAGCCGCATTGATAAATTCATGAGAGCACTAGAGAAGAATATCCTTGGTAAGTTGTTAAAATATAGCAGTGTTTAAATTCTCCTCTTTTCTTACACATTTTTTAAAACATAACTTTTAGTAGTTAGTACCGTTGAGCCGGGACGTAAACGCACCGAAAGCGAAAATGGAGATTCATTGGACTCGGTGGTGAACGGAGATTTGTCATTGGATGTTAACGTCGACATTGATATGGAGGCTGAGTCCTTATTTAACATGGAAAGTACTCAAAACACTCAAAGTTCGAACGGCGATGTTAATAAAGCTGACGTAGAAGAGAAGAAAGAGACTGAAGACAAATCAAATGATAACAATAAGGCAGTATCGATAGTTACAGAAAGCCTCAATGTTCCACACAGAGCCGATGATGATATCTTACCCAATCCGAAACGAGTCAAATTAAATTTACCTGAAGAAGATGTGGACCTAGAAAAACAGTCCCAAAAGAAGGATTTGGAAAAGCCTAAAATGCTAACAGGAAGCGCAGAAATTAAGAAATCTGTAGATAATGTAGAGCCAAAAAAAGAAGAAAATATGACCTTGAGTGAGGAAGACGCGGAGCAAGTTAACAAAAAGGAAACGAAAATTGAGCACAAGCAACAAGAAGAGATACAGGAGAAAAGCATTGAACAACAAGAGTCCACAAAATATCAAGAAAATACAGAAACTGATCAAGAAAAAACAGTGGACAGTAAAGAAACTATTAAAGCTGACATTGAGCAAACTGGTAAAGAAGAAAATAAGAAATTGTCGACTATAACTGAAATAGAAGAAACTAAAGATATTGCAGCTGGATCCGAAGAAAAAAAATTGAAATCTACTGTAAACGAAGAAGACAGAAAAGAGGAAGCAGTTATAGAAAAACAAGAAGTAGAGAAGGGAGAGAAGGAAGTAACTAAAGAAAGACAAGAGTCTGAGAACTCGGAAAAAGAAAAACAACAGGAAAGTGCCAAGACGGACACCATAACACATGAAGAAGGAGGTAAACATGAATTTTGCAGAGAAATTATTGATTTGATAAAAGAAGACAAAAAGAAAGAACAAAAAAAGGAAGCGGTCACTACTGAAATTAAAGAGGATAAAGCGGAGAACGACATAAAGAAGATAGAAGAGAGAGAGAAATTAAAAACTTCCACGTTGATTGAGGAAAAAAAAGAATCTAAAAAAATCACTGAAGTGGACGTCAAAACTAAGGAAATACCATCAACTTCTAAAACATTAGAAGAGACAATAGTAGAAGTAAAGGAACCCGTAGTTATACTCGAGCCAGTGAAGAAATTATTGGAGGACAATGCTGTAGAAGAGCAGGCGGATACCGTGACGCAATCGATCGCTGCCACTGCCAGGGAGCAAGAAATTGTAACTGCTTCTATTACCACTAGCGAGACAACTGCTGCCGTACTGCCGTCATTGACACTCAACGATCATCCTATGATTGAAGATTTGGCTATAGAAGAAGTACCACCTACTGTCGAAGAGGTAGTAATGGCTGAACCGCCACCTTTGACAAATGAAATGACCATTGAAGATGTCCTACAAACAACACATACTATCGTCGGTATGAAAACTTCCGCCACTGAAGATGAACCAGCTGGTATGGAAGTTGATGACACAAGTCAAGAGGCGATGGATCAATAAAATGTTCTTGCCGCATCTCTTCCATATTATTTTCGATAAGACATCACTCGTAAATGGAAGCTATCCTATTACCAACTTTTGCTTCTAACTTTCAACGAAAGCTTGCAGTGAAAAGAATGTCAACCGCAATGAATCCAATTGAGAAATTATAAAATTTTATTTTGAATCAATTAATCGATTCTTTATCAAACAATATGGAACTGTAAGAATTTATCATTAAAAAGTATTTTCCTTTTAATGTTTCGTGGATTAAATGGGTGTCGACGCTGACAGTATTTCAATACATTTACCGCTAATTATATATAGATACTTACTTAAAACAAATATATTACTATCAAGACGAATGGTGCATCCACGAAATCTCTTTGTCGATTTAGAAGAAATATGGACCATTAAAATAATTAAAAACCGAAAATGTATATACCACGTTTATATTGGAACACATTTGAATTGCTATATTTCTATAGTCCTCAATGGCTTCATTTTGTCAATAAACTTAATACTCCTTCCTTTCGGTGACGTATCTGTTCATAGAAAAATCATGAAATTGTGATGTAAACATTAACGATGAAAAATTTATATTTGGAATAATAGAGAAATCTTATGATAGAACAAAAATCTTCATTTAACGTCTATTGACTCTGCGCTCTTAGGACGGCTTACGTCCTTCATATTTTAGGTCTACTAGATCAGCTATAGCTTTCTACTTTTATAAATATCCAAAACACTATCTTGCATAATAAAGAACAATGAGTAAGGCTCTGCAATCTCTTGAATCTTCTATAAAAAGTGAATATTTATGCAATAAAACGGCCAGGGGGATTCAATATCTCATGATGAAATTTATGTTAAAAATTGACCCATAGTAGCAACTTAGCAAAAAACAATTAACAGCAGAGAATTTGAAAATGAAGAAAAATCATTGACGAGCAAGTTAAGTTTGCTAAATTTGGATCATCTTGAGTATTCAGTTTTCCCACTTTTGATGTCAAATTAACTTCATTAGTTATTAGTTATAGATTCAAATCACCATGAATTTTTTAACCAGATTAAATTGGCCAATAAAATGAGCATCATGCTATGAATCCAAGTTTACGCAATGCTGTAAGAAAATCTTTAATAAATTTTGGAACGAAATATTGGAATAATGAACGATATCTACCTAAATTTTGCCATATTTCGATTTTTATCTGTTAGAGCTGCAGTAAACACCATATGTCTCTAATTGCCTCTCATCGAAAAAACAAATAGACGTAATTTAAACGTTATTATTTCTTTTTTATAGCATTAATTTTCATTACATAACATCTAAAAATTTTTAATTAGCGACACAGTAATTTGAACAATAACTGAGATTGGTACTAATCCGATTTGAGAGATCAGTAATTCTTTTGATTGCTCACATTCCAAAATTTTATATAGCGGTCTAGCGGATTGCCATTACGCCAATACCTGATCCTAAATAAAACCGTTCTCGAGATCTCACATTTTGCGATCTAGTTAAAGATTTTCAAAATATTCTATCAAAGTTTACATTCGTTTTACGTAAAGTGAAGAAGGAATACAAAAAAAAAGAACAAAAACCGAAAACCTTCGGCTATTCATCTTAGTAGGACCTTATCACTAACACACCTGCGGGCGAAAATCGACAGCCGTTTGATCAAGGTATTTCCCAAATTTTATATTTTGTTGCTGCACATATATAAGTTTGTTGCTTTATTGGTGAACCCTAGAAGCATATACCGCTGGTGTTACGCTTACCGAGTAACATTGTGCAAAAGGTGCATGGATGTGTATAAAGGTTAGTATTATAGTATTTAATATTTCGAAAATCTAACTATAGTTTTCGAAAATTTCTCCAGGTCGCTGGAGTATCTTACAGGAAGAGCGGAACAACTGTTACAGCCCGAAGAAGCTGAGACAAATCGTTAACGCTGTGCGTCGCTGCACAACTAAAAAGTGTGAGGAGACCATGTTCTAGCACTTCAGACGACCTATGAAGATGGTGGTGCTGATGTTTGTGTGGACGCACCACAATTGAGGCAGTTGGGTGAACAAGTTAAAGGATTGCTGGCACCAAATTTGTAAACAAAACAATTTTAAAAATGGAAATAATTTTTAAATTTATATGAATCTTCTTTTTACTTGTTCATATATGAGCATAAAAGAAAAACAGATTTGTCTAATAGGACTGGAAGAGAAAATTTAATATAATTATGAAGAAGACATCAGTTGTAGGAATTAGTTACTAACAATATATTATAATAAAATCGTTAAAATTCACTTTTTATAGAAAATGTGTAAAGAAGAATCTTCATTGCAAAAGGAACCTATAAATTTAAACATGGAGTTTAATGCTAATACCTTCTTCAATCTCAATATTCTACGTAATTTTCTATTAATTTCATTTAGCAGTGGTATTAATGCTTACCATATGCAGTTTGTTGGTACAAAACGAGTTAACGTCAATTTTGCTTTTATTTCTTACGCCTCTCTCAATTATTAATGCATTGAAAATGAAAATTTGGGAGGAAGTATTGGCGAGGTGGCGACGATGGTACCTGATTAGTGTCTTGGCGATAATCTGCCTTACAAAAACACCTTATTTGGCTTATCATATCGTTAAAGAAATAAAAATGAGGAAATCATCAATGTAACTGTAAGCAGACAGCATATGATTTGAGGAGAAAAAATGAGAAAATCCATACAAACCTAAAAAAGCTTTAATGTTTATTTACTTATTATTTCAGTACAAAAAAGTGCAATGTACAACGGATTTTAGTTGTGTTACGTGCCAAGAAGGTAAATTTTTAATTAACAAGGCAAATCCTTTTTTTTTGTCTCTATATTACTTTGCGGGTAGAGGCTAGCTTCCTCAGTTTATTCCCTGTCCGTGAATAACTGGTGGAATAACTAACCGTGAGATTTAGATGTTTGGACGCCTGAGCTTGTGCTAGTTGTTGATCCCGATTGTTTGACTTTACGGATAAGGGATGGGTAGCTCAGCTTAGTCACTGACGCTAACTATTTGACCAAAGGCTTAGTGGACAGGCGGTTAAGCTTAGCCGCTATCCTTGAATGACTCTTGGCACAGATAGGCATAGTATAGTTGACTGAAGACAGGGTTTGTTCACGAAGCCGTGAAAAGCAAAGTGTAGCAGGGAAGTTGTAAAATAGAGTTAACAGTTTAAACGAAGTGCTGAGTTTTCGTCCCTATAAACTATATTGACGTGTAAAAATAGAACAAGAGCATTTCAGTCAGGCAAGATCGATCATTAAATAGCCTGCACCACTTTGCGTAATACAGTTATTCACTCATTTTGGATATACCAAAAATTACGCAATATTGTCTTGCAAAATATGAAAGCCCGCCAATTGAAGAATACCCAAGACATCGCATAGCGTGCTCCAAATTGAATTTGCTTCCTTAAAATTTTATTATTTTTCAATTAGGGTCAAAAAATGGACCTATGTGCTCCAACTTTCCTTCCGATAATTTGTTAAATTGCTACTAAGGACTAATTTTCATCATAAAATAATATAAATTTACCTTTTTTCTGAAAGATTTGCTATTAATGAGAAAACTTATATGGAGTGGGCTCCAAGAAATAGACCCATGTATTTCAATTTTGGGTCACTTCATTTTTATGTCAAATGACTACTATGAACAAATTTTCATCAGAAAACATTAACACTTCTCAGCCTTCTTAGCATATACAAGCTTGCATTTGTTGAGAGTCCTTATAT